CCAACCCACCACTTCGCCTTTTGGTCTCAAATGTTTTGACCTTGACAGCCAAAGGCGACAGTTTTGACTTGGCATAACCTTGGCAGCGGCCTGGGGCAAAGTTTTCCTACGCTTGGCTTCTGCACCTGCAACTGTTCTGAGGCTCAACTGTTGGGATATACGTTTGAATAATCACCTTCACGAGAACAAGACACAGATGGCATGCTTCAAGTAGAATACGAAATGCTTTCCATCAGGACATCTGTTAAAATTGGAACGATAAAGAAGAGATTAGCATGGCCCCTGCGCAAGGATGACCCACATAAATCGAGAAATGCTCCACAAAGAAAAGAAAAGAAAAGGGGAAAAAAAGTAAAAAAGAGCCGAAATGCACATCGTATGAGGCGTTACCCTCGTGGTGGATACAATGTGCAAAAAAGAGGGGAAGAGATCAAGAACTTGGTTAATAACTTGATAGAAACATAATGACAGTGGACTCCCATCCAGTGGGTGATAAGAGCACATCCTGAATCCAGGCCCTCTCTTTTTTTTCAAATTCTCTGGGAGAGGGGAGATAGTTGGCCATTGCCAGTGATAGCCACCATGCTCACACCAGGGTTGTCCAAGCCTTTTTTTGTTTGTTTGTTATTCAGGTGCAAGACTCCAGGCCTTGGCGGGCTTCAGAGTCCACACGTGAAAGAGGCGGGCTGGCGGGCTGCCCTGAGTGAAGGCGGGCCTGTGAAAACTGCCGGCAGGGGCAAGAATAAGACGGCAGGGAAGTTTCTGAGCCTGCCAACAGGCGCCAGCCCCTCTAACTAACCGGCAGGCCCACAAGGACTCAGATCCAGTAGGCAGCAGGCGCTGCCTACTGGGCCCAGATGCGGCCTCCAGAAGACGACAAAAGGAGGGAGGCTGTTGCCCAGAGGACAGTCGGCCGCGCAGCAACTCGCGGCAGGGCTGATGTGCGCTAAGGCCAGAAGAGCAGCACCAGAGGAAGAAGCAGCGGTCGCAATAGCCACTGGCTGGCGCCAGCCACAGCTAGCGAGAACTAGCAAGGAAGCAGGGTCGCAAAGTGTGGAAGAGAAGAGAAGGAACGCAGTGGGGACCGACAGGTCTTATCTGGTGGGGTTGAGCAGAGCTGTGCGAGCAGAGTCTTCGAGCAGCAGCCAGCAAGTGACACATGGACACAGAGTGAGTGTAGTAGGCTGGTGCGAGTGGAGGTGGTAGAAAGTAGAGTAGAGCAGTTACATCACTGTAGGGCTGCTACATTGTTGTTATTTTGATGATTGGAGGTGAGAAAGTCGGGGGCTATCCCTATCCCTATCAAACAAAAAAAATAAAAAATAAAAATTCAGGTGAAGCACATGAACAACTCATGAGGTTGAAACTTGGACAACATCACAAGCATGAGATGGTATCAATTTTTTTATTTGATTGCGTGATATGATCGAAAGGGGATTCCAGACTGAAACAGGCCAAACTGGCCAAATTAAAACCAATCTGAAATTCCAAATACACAGAGTCACATAGTGAAAGATAACTTTTTTGTTATGGAACTTCTGAGTCGTTTTTTTTTTTTTTTTTGGGTTGGTTGGACGCTGGGCCTGGTTCTCAGCACGTGATGCTCCCCACGAATAGATGGAGCCTATGTTTTATTTTTTATTTTTTATTTTTTTTACGAGTCTTTTTTCCCCCCCCCCCAAAACAAAACCTTATGGTTCTGGCTCCTTTTCCATTCTGGGGAGC